TTCACCTGGTTGGTTTATGGGGGGGGGGGGGGTTATCCTAGAAGCTACAGGCACACGCCAGGGAATAACCCAGGATGGGGCACCAACCTATTGCAGGAGACACTCACACACCATTCATACTATGGAAACTGGAAAAAAACCCCATGGCAACACTGGGAGAACATGCAAACAGCTACGGCACTACAGCCATGCGGCGCGTTTCCCTGAGGGTGATCCGGCTCGCAGGATCCTCATTGCTGAGGACCCAAGCAGCTGGACCGGGCCAAGAGGACGCCCACGTAACACCTGGCTGCGGCAGATGGATGGCCATTTCCGGAGGGTGGGACTGGACCCTGTGACTGCCTGGGGGGTCGCCAGCCGGGATCCAGATAAGTGTGGTGGGTGCAGCAACGCGCTGCATTAGTGGGTGCTCCCCAACCTGAGCTGACCTGATCTGATTATACCAATATTATACCATCTTCACATGTTATACTCATTTATTTTTATACAGAAACTGTTATATGCGGTACTGTGTTTTGACCTTTTTCGTCTTTTTTGTGTAGTTGTGTACTGTGCAGTCTGTAATTACAGGCAATTTCCTCTGGGATAATGAAAGTATTCTGATGCTGATTTACAGAGAATATCATTCTGTCTGTGTATAATTTTTCAGTGCATACAGTGGAGTTTTTGGATCACCTGTAGGATCTGGAATTCTGGTGCGGCATGATGACATTTGTGTTATTAGGTGACATCGATAACCTGTTTCAGAAAGGGTAGGAGTTCTTTCACATAACGGCCATTAACAGTCACTTCATGTCACTTAGCTAATACATTTTGGCTGGGGTGGTACATATGTTTACAAGCTGTCTACAGTGAGCAGTTCTTGCAGTAGTGTTTGCATCATGCATCCGCTGTATTCGCCACACCAAAGCTATCCCCCCCGCCCCCACCCCAAAGCAGAAGAGGGGGAAGAATTACAGAGAGAGCTGACAGCTTTTAACCCTTCTTGCCCAGCCAACTTTGATCCGCCACTGGGATTCCCACTGGTCCTGTAGAATAAGGGCAAGTCATGTGAGGATCAAACTATACCAGACTATACCCTTCACGTGCACTATAGAAGGTGTATGGCATGACCTTCACTGCTGTCTGATAGGAGGTTCTGCAGCCTCAGAGCCAGGACAATGAAGCTTAAACAGAGGAAAAACTCAGGCTATTTGACTGCTCAACAGTCTAGCCCCCCAGCCTAAGACTGGGTCTGTTAAAATGACTCATAAAATGACTCGGGGTTCTGGCGCGTGGCGTGGTTGGGCCCCCGGGCTGTGGACGGCTAGTGGCTTCTTGGAGCTGGGGGGGCTGTGGCTGCCATCCTGTGATGTCTGGGTGTCTGCTCTGGCTGGTGGTGGTGGGGGGGGCTTTGGCGGGTGCTGCCCGGTGGTCATGGGGCGTGGGATCTGGGGTGCCGGTGGTGGCGGGGGCTGGCCCTGGGATGGGTGGTTGGCCTCTTCGGTGCGGGCTTG